TCAGGAAGTTATCTTCCACACACTCCATGTGTACCATTTACCATTTACATGTCGTACCATTTACTTATTGAACATCTGTTTTTACTTGGGAATGCTGCTTAAGTGTCCTTATATAATGTAGGTATTCCTAGTGCATGTTTTTTATGTAGGACTTTTTGAGAATTTGGAAAAAATTACCAATTTGTGTAGAGAAAGTTACAAGCAGGAACCTTGGCATTATGCAAATTTTTCTTTCTGCAGTAGACAAAAACTAGCTTCCAAAGACAAATTAAGGAATCCAGGGTACAAGCTGACTGTAGTTTGGACGTAGTACTTGAGACAGAATGGTGTAAGAAACGTGTTGATATTGTGAGCTCAGCAATTTTAGACTTTCCATTGTCTCACTTTTGCAGTTAGGCAGGAAGTGTAAAGGTGAATGCCTTCAGCCCCCAGGCAGGATTTATTTAGCAATTACTGTACATTTTGTGTAAAAAGTACAAGCATGTCTCTCATTGTCCTACAGTGGATTGATCCCCGCACCCCCAAGTCTGTAATTTTAATCACAATTTAAATTCAGTAAGTAGAAAAATTTAATTTAATGTTAAGTTTGTTTTGCAGTTGTTCTTACAGTTGCTTTATTGAACAATATTTCTCAGTTACTGATAGAGATTGTGGTAAAAGGATGGATTTGGAACTAAAAACAGTATTTATGGTAAATTTTCTAGCCATTGTGCACTGTGTGCAAAATGTGTATGTGTAACTGATACATGTTCTGGATTTATGGATTTAGTGTGTGTATATTTTATGTTGAAAGTGATGAATGATGTGGCTCTTAACCTGATTACTTTTTACTTGTAATGTACATCTAACAGCATGCAGAAGGAATAAAACATTCCATTCAGGGAAAAATACGGCTTTTATTTTTAACATGGTTTGTCAAACTATCACAGGAGTGCTCAGTATCTAAGAAAATACATGCCCACAAGATTTTACATTTTAAACCGTTTTGTTACATCGGTATTTTTTCTATGGTTATGAACAGAACAGGGTTGTAGAACTAGGTGCTCTCATCACTTCTCACTTTGCTTTTGATTTTGGTCTGTAAACAAGAACAAAGTATTCAAGCTCTCCATTTGTTCTTTTTGTTTCTCTCAATGAACTATTTGTCAAACTCAACTGCTTCTTACAATTTGAAGTAACTGAAATTTATACCTCAACAAGTGGCAAGCAGTGTTATGAACCCAGGCTTGAGTGGAAGTCTATTAGGGTGTGCAACATCCAGGACTTGCAGCATCATCCAGAACTCAGAATTGGCTTATTGTTAAAATAATCTCATACTACTGAATATTTTAACTGTCTTTTTATGTGGTGTTTTTTCAGTTTTTTGCAGTATTGAAAGGAATGGTCAAGGAATGGTATATCAGGCTGAAGATATGGTAATATCAAAACAAACTGTTGCAGATAATCGAATTGAATACTTCTAATACGCTAGTTTGTATACATACTTACAGTGTCCTGCTTGCATTCAGTCGTATCTGTACTGTAATTCAGATATGCATAGATAAACAAGCTCATCTTGCTGAGAATTTCTCTGTTGTGTTTTCTTTCCTTAGCCTCATAGATTGTTTTTTGGTAGACTCAGCAGCTGTGAGCCTTACGATGTCTCCCACAGGAGATTTTCTAGCTTCAACACATGTAGATGATCTTGGAATTTATTTGTGGTGAGTATGTAATATATCTATTTCTATACAGAATTTCAGATGGGGAAGAATTCTTTTAATCACCTTTATCGCAAATAGAGAATTGTTTTGGAAAGTATCATCTCCAGGGTTTTGTCTTCTCTGGTTCCAATTCAGACAGGTATTCTGTATTGTTGTGATTCATAAATCTTGAAATCTCTTGCAGTTAAGATATTTATTCTGATAATTAAATGATCTAAACGTTTTTTCTAAATGTTTCTTTCTTACTCTAAAGATTTCCTGTTACGCCATTCCAAAAGTTTTTCTTTGACTCTACTATTTTTTTTTTTTACCCCTTTTGAAATGTCAGTGCTCATACAGTGTTACTTTCTGAAGGGCTTTACTTCTTGTCCTGATATACAATGTTGTCTGAGACTTCTGAGTAGAATTTGGAAGTTGTGATTATTTCTGTTTATTAATGATAGATGTGCACAGATGTAAAATGTGTTTTAGCTCAATTTCCTCCTGATACGGCTTTAAAGCAAATGACTGGTTAGGTCCAGTACTGAAGTAACACACCTTTTAAGTGGTTTGGTGTTCTTTTTTCCTTTTGATAGATTGATAGATCTTTCAGGTTACATTTGTTGCCTGTAGTTTTGCCTGAGGGGTGTTCAATTGTTAGACCTTTCTATGCTTAAGTAAAAGTGCTTCATTGTGAATAATGACAGATGTTTTTACCTAGCCCTGGTTTATATTGACAGAAAAAATCATTTGCCAGAATGACTTGTGTGCATGTTCCAAACCTCAAGAAAATTTGCTAAGAGTACTACTCTGAAATTCTGTGAAAGCAGGATGAATCATTTGTATTTGCGTAATGTATTGTACATATTAAGTACAAAGCAAGCTTTTTAGATAGGCAATTTTGGATTTTCAAGTAAATACAATGGCAATGATTGAAGTAATCATACTTCATAATGCCATATGTATTAAATGTTCTTGGCAATAATACTTCAGCATAACTTTTATGTTTCAGACTTCCAGATGATGCATATCGCCACGTTTCATTTCTTGTTTATCTAGCAGATGAGGAAAACTAATCTTGAATAGTGAACTGCCGTAGTGCAGTAGTATTAGACTGCAGTAAAAATTATGTCTAAAATACTTGTTCCTGTTCACCTGAAAATTGTTTTAAAATGCCTGTCTTATTTTTCAGGTCAAACCGTTCTCTGTATTCACTTGTCTCTTTACGGCCCCTTCCAGCAGATTATGAACCTTCTATGGTGACACGCCCTAGCACCTGCCCTATGCAAGGTAATCTTCAGATGAAAGAGTATTTTATTTTCAGTTTGGTATTGTATTTCAAACAGGAGATGGTTTGCTTCCTCAGTGAAAACTCATTGTGTCTTAGCATTCTTTCTCTGAACTGTTCCTAATGCTTCTACCATTTTTGGCATACTTACTCATACACTAATACTATTTACTAAAATCTAGTCACTTTTCTATATTCAAGACATAAAGAATTACATTGTGATGATCTCCACATCTTCAAGGAGATTTTGTAGGTAATAAAAACGTGCTATTTGCTGTCTTTCTTTAATCACAGACTTGAGTAATACCTTCCATTTTGACATCTGTGAGGCCAGTTTGAAATTAATGTTACTGTTTGGTGGTGGGAAGGGGATTGATTGTTGTTCTGCTTCCCTCCAACTTTTTTGTCTGCCCGTATGCCATAGTAGTTTCACTGCTGTGTATAGTCTTATTGGAAGAGAATTGGGTTCAGCTGACCTGCCATGTACCTGTGCTAGATTCCCAGTGAAAGAAAGGCCTAAATTGCATTTTTGATACGTTTACTAGAAATGGTTGTGCTTCTGAAGGCCTCTAGATGGAGATCTTGTCTGCCGAAGTTTAGCAGTGCCTACATTTAGATCTCCATCTGGAGGAGAAACACACCTAACTATTGACTGCATAAAAGAGCAAGGAACATACTTGATGATGACTGCTTTATTAAGCACATATGTACTTAGATACTTAAATTAGGGAGACAGGATTTCATCCCAAAACTTTGAATGTTATAATCCTATAAACTGATTCTGGCTGAATGCTTTCATGCACTTTCTGCCTTCAGCAAATGTAAAGTTCTTGTTTAGACGCCCAGAGCTTTTAACGGTTTACATTTCTTTGTTGTTTTAGGCTTTTCTATCACATTCATGGTTTCAGCCCTCTAATATTTTGCAAAAAGGAAGTGAAAGTAGAGGTTTTTGGTCAAGGCCACATAGAAAGTTTAGAGAAAACCTAATGACAGACTTCATGTCTTTTGTTGTGTGATGTTGTGCTTTAGTGTTGAGATTTTCCTCATTTTGATGTGCCACTTCAGTCATACCTATGAACAGGTTGTGAATATTGTGCGTATTTAAATGCAAAGATTTTTACAGATTTGTAACTCAGAAATAAAACTGCTGTGCATATTAAAAGTAATCCATTGTTCTTGTTTTAGGACTTCTATAAATTGCTTTTATATCATTTCGGCCAAAGCGCATAAATCGTGTTAGTCTTTAAAATCTTGTTTATTCAATTCTGCGTTTTAGCTATAACTGTTTGCAATTTAAATTTAATATTTCATAGGGTTAATAAAAATTGTTTCTGTAGCTTTTCAGCTATATGTTATGCTAGTACCCATATATATAGCTGTTACGCATGTTTTTCAAAAATTGCAAAAGAAATAATCGTGGGGTTTTTATTTTTAAAAAAATAAATGGGAAGTATGTATGTTCGTAAAAGATAATCTGTTCTTGAAAGATGTGGATGTGGCAGGAGATGAAGAAACATGTGATGAGATGATAGAATATGTCTCACCTGAGCAATTGGGAGAGCAGCTGGTGACCCTTTCCTCATTACCGGAATCAAGATGGAAAAATCTCCTCAGTCTTGATGTTATCAAGGTAATGATAGGCACACCTAACTTTTGCCTTTAGTATTTCTGCAACATGCAAAATAGCTGTCTGAAGGCAGATATTTCCATGTCAATGCAGCTAATAAGGTGTTCTAGGTTATGCCTCCAAATCACTGTCGGGCATTCCCATAATCGGAAAAAGAGGGAATGTGCAAAAAATAGTAGTGTACAGCCAGATATATTTGCCCTTGTTCTATGAGCTGCGTTTACCTAATCAGAAAATTTGATACCACATTTGATACCAGGTGTTTTTCAAGATTTTGCAGTAGAAGACTATATGGTGATTTTCACAATTTCTGGGATTTGGGGGACGGGCTGTTTTTCTTCTAAACAGTAGCTTCATATTTAGTGGTATAACATTTTACCTATATATTTACTTTTCAGTTAGTCCTTACAGTTTTCATAGTAAAAAGCTTGACAAAGAAAATTCCCACATGTTCTTACTATGATGATGATTTTAATTCAAACATCTAATTAACAGAAAAAAAATAAACCAAGAGAGCCACCAAAAGTTCCCAAGACAGCCCCTTTCTTCATCCCAACAGTTCCTGGTCTTATACCCCGATACATTGCTCCAGAGGAAGAGAATGATACACAGGTAAAAACAAGAATCGATATAATAGTGTTTATCTAGTATATTTTTAAAAAAAAATTTAAATGCTTTTTAGTGCTGAGTGAAATCTTGCTAACGACTTTAAAGTACTAGTTTTAACACATTTACAGTAATGCTTTCTTTCTTAAAGTCTTTTATTTTGTCAGTAGGAAAAGAATCTAATTGAGATGTAAAAATATGTTTGCGTATTCATGTACCCTCTCTTGTACTTTCATGGTCTAGTCAAAGGTAGTAAACCTTGGAATACTGGCACAGAAATCTGATTTCTACATTCATCTTGAAGAAGCCCTGAGCACTAATGAATGTAAGTTAACAAGGCATTTCACTAAAAATGTAGATGCTAATAATATTTTGATAAATGCTTCATTTATAGTGCCAGAATTGTAACATGTGAGGAGAAAAATACGCATAGTACAGTAGCAAAGGCAAAGAGGATGACTCTTATGTATAAAGCTGACTAATACATAGATAGCCAATCGATAGATCAAAGATCAATTGGTACTCCAGCTTGCCTGCAGCATGGAGCCCAGTTCTGGCTAAAATCCATGTAGAGGAAAAAGGTAACATTTCTAAGATTGTTAGACTTTTTTGGAAATTGTGATGATCTCACCCAGAAAAGGTGCTATGTGTTATTTGTATGGTAAGAGAAGAAAGGAATGATCTGGTAAGGAATAGTCTGGTGATACACTGAAACATGAAAAATGTAATTTGCCTAGCAAGTTCTATTTTCAAGGGCTACTTCTCTAAACACTCAGCGAGCTTAGAGCTTTAATTGATTGCTTTATAATTTAAAGCTTAAGAAAAAAAAATTGATACAAAAATAAGCTGCTGGATTTCTTTTAACATTCAATTCATTTTGAAATTCAGTCACTTAAATTGCCTGTGGAATGTACCTGCCGTTTTCCCTGTTTAACTTGTGTTGTAACAGAATCATTGAAATTCAGATTTTTGGAAATGATTGCTAATATAGCTGGCTTGGAAATGTAAATGGATAGTCACTGGTAGCCTGTCCACAAGGCAGTTCTGGTGGGAATTTTTCTACCCCTTCTTAAACTCTTTTGGGATGACCAGCCTACTCAACTGCACTTAAAACATTTTGTGTGCAGAACTTCATTATCTATCACAAACAAGGTGTGTTTTTATGCTGTTTTTGGTATTTCTGTTGATAGTATTCTATTAAGCTGCCTCAGAGCTGCTCAGAGAAGAGTGAAACATGAGGTGAATATTTTAAAACCTAGCCAAGCACCTAGAGGCTGGCTGCACCAGGGAGCAAGGGCACTCCATGATGCATTGCAGTAGTGATCCCGTGGGCCTCCTTCAGGCCATCTGTTTTCTGTAAGGCAGTTGTGCTCCAGGGTCTGTGCTGTAATCCCAATCCGGGGAGCCTGTTGATCATGACTCAGGAAGCTGCTGGTGTGTAACATGGCTCTGTGCTTGCTAGTTTACAAGCATCTCTTCTAAAGGTGACTAGGCTATGCAAATGAATAGTATGCTAGAAGCCATCCTTACTTACTATTGGGATGGAGACAGGGTTTCATACCTCGCATCAGGACTGTGGAACATAGGTTGAGCTGGGCACCTTTTCCACATTGTATGTGTACCAACTTCATAGTTATGTTCCATGTTTGGTTTTTTAATGTCACAGCATAAAAATGCGTTAATGCATCTGTTTAGTACTGTTAATATCACAGTTGCATTTAAAGCTAGCTAATGATTTTCATAGGAATCAAATACAGATGAAACAGATTTATACCACCTAAGGAATATTAGCCAATGCCAGATACCATTAGTTACCATGATATAAGAGTATAAGAAGTTGCTCTTCTTAGCAACTTCTTAGCAAAAGAAACATCAATTAGAAGCATCTTTTAAAATGTTTTTACCAACAGCTGTGTTTGCAACCATACATATTTTTATTTCTGCATTTTTAAAGCAAATGGATGGAATTCTCAAAGATCAGGTAGGATTGTAGAAATCCTGAGGAAGAACATTTATGAAGAGGAGGAAGGAGTTTGTAAATTGCATGTATTTCTACCAGGGAAAAGATTTCCCACACCCACCACCCCCCAGGTCCCAGGAAAAGCAGGAGGAATTCACTTAACAAAAGTAATAATTACCTTAGATGCACTAGGTGACCCTTGATTTAGCTTAATGTCAATAAGAGTAAACACTGTAAAGATTCCTAGTAAAAGTAGTACCCTGTCTCTTCTAGGATATATTTGCAGTAACACCTTGAAGTCCCAAGTATATATATATATTTTTGGCAAGAGATGTAAAACGACAATGTTATATTGTTAATAAGAAACTTTGTTCATCTTAAAAGACAGAAATGGGAAAAAAAGTGATACAAATACAAAGATTTTACTTGTATTTTTCAAGGTGAACTTGCAAATAAAATGCAACTGTGTTATTAGAGATGCACTTCTCTGTAGTATCTGATGGGACAGTAAATTAAAGCAGGATGGCATTTTATGGAAAACAAAAAAATAAGGAAACAGTAGAAACTTCAAACATAGAGTCACTGCTTAAGAGTTTTGGAATAAATCTGTCCACATGAAGGATTTGTAAGATTCTTTTCTGCAAATGTTGCTGATAATATATCCCTCAATGCTTTAACACAGATACAGCTCCACTTAATTTACTGAAAAGCCTGGGACCATCTAATATTGAGATAGAACTAAGGGGTTTGGCCCCTGAAGGTGGTGGCTCAATGGAAGTGATGCTAAGCTTTTTGAGAATGATTGGGATGATGCTGAACAAGAAGTACAACTTTGAACTTGCTCAGGCATACCTTGCACTATTTTTAAAGGTAACAATTTTCTTACCAAACTGAATTTCTTCTTAAAATTTTATGTTAGTCCTGTTTAAAATGATGGTTGTCCAGTAAAAGGATGTAAATTGTTTGCTGGAAGGAGTTATCTTAAGTGATTTTTGTTGGGGATGATTTTAAAATGACTAACTGAATGTATTGGATAATTTGATAACTCACCTGGTCACAGTCAAGAAAAACTTGCAAAACCCAGATATTGTGAAGAGGACCGTGCTAGACAGGTTTTGTTCTGGTATTCGTTACTTAGAATTGTTCTTATTTTTTGTAACATACCTAACTACTTAATGGTTGTTAATTGCTAAGCTAAGATATGCTATGTCTTAAGTAAGAAAATAATACAATGCACAATGTTTGGGAAAGTAAAATATGCGTTCTTTCTTATCACTAGACATTGCAAGCCTGAGTTTTACTTTCCATGTCAGTGGGTTGCCTTTCTTCTGTTACCCGTTAAGCATCACAGAGCTAATGAAATTATTGCCAGGTGTGTGGAAGTTAGAAAGTTATTGTGATAAAATACAGTAGCAGTTACTCTTAGAGAGAAAGTAGTTCAGCAGAAGATTGAAACCCTTCTGATGTACAAATGCTTACCTTGTCAAGATACTCTGATTTATGAAACTGTGGGAAAGGAATTAATTACAGTTTACTAGAAGAAAAGTTGTTATAAACATTCAGACACATGTAATACTGTCTGTTTAACTGAATATTTCTTACTAGCAATATTGCAGGGATTGGTTTTAAAGATAGAGTGTAATGCTGGATAAATATGACTTGCTCTTTTCCTTTTGTTGGCGTTAAATAGAACGCGTGGGGCAGCTTCCACAAGAACAAGTAGTGCAGACAAATAGGAATAGATCTGTAGAGTGAAACAGTTAGGGTTGAGGTCTTGATATTCATTCACCAGTGGCTTTTTATCATGTCTATTTATTATTAGGCTGTTTTTTATTAGTCTGGTCCCATGGACTGGATATGATTAATAGTTGCAATATTAGATGTTAGAATTAATTTTCTGTTTAGTTTCATACAAAAGAAATTTAGTTCTTGCAGGGTATATTAGGGACAGCTAGGTAATTTGCCTCAGAAATGTACTCCTGATCTGAACTACGGTAGAGTAATACAAACTCACCCTGTGACACATGAACACCAGCATCTTTTGTTGGAGGTTCCAAGTAAAACAGCTCTGAACTTAGCAAGACTCCTAGATTTAAGATGTAGCCAGAAAAATAACTATTCCATCCATTAAGCAGTAATAATTTATTGCCTCTCTACAGGATTGGAAGGTTTCTTTCCTTTACGCTTTTCCAAGGTTACTGTTTATTACATAGAGAGACAACATTTCCCTGTATCAGTATAGGGTGTGCTTGGCATCAGTCTACTTGCTTTATGCAACATGGATAATTATCTGATTGATAATAATCCTGATTGACAGGGCATCTGTTTAGCCTTTCTAGCCCAAAAAGGAATTTGTGATGCATGTTGAAAAGAGGAGAAAGTTACCCTCTAGAAAAGTGTGTGAAGAAGAAGATGATGGAGTAAAGCAATAACATATTTAAGACATTTTGCTGCCTTATCCCATCTAATACATATGTGGGAGTAAAATGGCTTGTAAAAGACTGACAAAAGGGAGGCAGCATTAAATGGAGGGAATTAATTGAAGGAAGAGAGTCCTTCCCTTACTTGGAACATTCCTGAGAGTAAAATATTGGAAACTGATCTTTTAATTTTTTTATTATCTGTGTTTCTTTCACTAACTGCTTGTTTTCATTTTCAGTTACATCTTAAGATTCTCTCATCAGAGCCAAACCTATTGGAAGAGGTATCCAGATTGTCAACGCAACTTGAGGAAACTTGGATTCATTTGCGGACGATCTTCAATCAGAGTCTGTGTGTGTTAACATATGTGAAAAGCGCTTTGCTGTAAAATACTTACAGGTTTTGTCTGCATAAAATTCGCCTCGGAATAATAGTACAACTTATTACCAAAAATACTGGATTCCAAGAATTATACTGGGACTTCTGATGCTGTATTTTGTACATCTGTGTATGGCAAAGTATTTCAGAACGTGCATAACTGAGTATTTTTGTTAACTTCAGTCGGAGCAAAAATGAGTATGTGCAGCTTAAATATTCATGTTGTATTAGTTTGTGCTGTCAATGAATACACAGTTGAACAGGTATAGGTAATGTAGCTAGTTACCTTATGCTTTCATGACCAAAAATGTAAATCAGAATGAAGAAATGACTTGCAAAAAAAAAAAAAAGGGTGAGTTCTGTGCAGGAGACCAAAACCTATATTGTGCTTAATAAACAATTATTGTTGATGCAAAAATAAAAAAAAAGTCTGAATTATTAACAATTTATTAACAATAGTTTAAAGCAAATGAATATAAAAATCGCATTCCTCTGCGCTGAGAGTGCTTTTCATATAAGGTTTGTAAAAATCAGTTTTCTTCTCACTTTGGCAAGCTGTATTCACTATTTTGTGTCAGACACCTATTCTGAAAGCAAAGATTTCTAGTTGCACTACAAATGATGGAATTTGGGGGGAAAAAAAAAAAACTAAACCAAAAAAAAAGGCACCCTTTTTTTATAACCAGGTTTCTTGCTCTAATTTTGGAGGCTCAATTTCTTACAAAAATTAGGATTCTTTTCTTAAGGAGATAAAGAGTACCAGAGTAAAAGCTTTGAGTTGTGGGGAATTTTTAGTTGAATCTGATGTTATTTTTATGAATTGGTATTTAGATTTCAAATAATAAGGTTTGGGCAGAGTTTGGGAACTCATGAATGGGATTATCTTAAACTTTGCTGTTTGAGAGCATTGCCTCACAGCAGAAGAATTTCCTGAACAAGGCCTTTGCTGTATTTCACACACTCCAGCTACAGACACAGACTAACAGAGTAACTAATACAATTGTAGGCAATTTTAATGAGAAAACTTGAAAGATGGGTTCATTGCATTTAGCATAAGACTGAAACAATACGTTTTGTTGTTCTATATGTGTGATTGTTTTTTTAATGCCATCACATTATGGAACTCTTTTTAGTATGTATCCTGGAACAAATTATCTGCAAACATGTAAATGCAGCGTAGAGTACGCAATACTGCCTGAAACAAGCGACAATTCCACAGGTATCATCAGATCAGCATCCTTTTGGCTGCCCAAATTTGTAAGAAATTCCGTCAGCGTTATCAAAGAAGTGCAGAGGTGATGGGAAGTCAGCTTTTACAGCTTCCCTATGTTGTTCTGACTGTTCTTTCTCTGTAACTTTGACTCACGTTAAAGCTTGAAGAGAACAGAAGTTTACAGACTGTGTCATTCCAGCCAACTAGGACAGAGAATGTGGGGTCCATGGGAATGATGTACACCTGAGGCTTTTTCATGAAGTTTACTACTGAGATTTAAGAAAATCCTTTGTGCCATAGAATGATTAGCTTCTGGTGATACGGTTCTCAAGAACCCATTACTCCTAATTTCTTGAATGGATCTGAAGCAGTCCCACATCCCTCAAACCTTAATGTGATGTTACAAACTTCTGAGCTTATAGGTGTTACTGTAACTAATTTAGAAGATCTTAAAGAATAATTTTTTGAACCAAGACATTAGAATATTAAAGGATGAGTAAGTCAGTAGTTGCAGACCTGCCTCAGTAGAAGAAGGAACAGTGGAAAAAGAACTTTCCTCTTGGATCAGAGCAAAGGTCTGTCAAGCCTAGTATCCTGTCTCCAGCTGGAGCAAGGAATAGATACAAAGGGTCTAGCAAACAGGTCATGTATAAAGTGATCCTTTCTCAAGCGTATTGCACCAGCTTTCAGCAGCTATTTAAGTACTTCATGACCCAGTCATATTCTGTGACAGACCTGTTTGTTCTCTGTGAGTTCATCTAATCTCTTTTAGAACCCATTTATCCTTCACAACATCCTGTAGTAATGGGACCTACAATTTAATTAAATACTAAGGGAAATAATGTATTTCTGTTTGTATACTCCAGACCTGCTATCTTCTAATGTTGTATGCCCCTCCTACTTCTTGAATGTGACAAATAATTGTGCTTTATTCTTCATGCTTCACAGCCTCTCAGCCACAGAGCAGTTGTGGAGTGGCTTCTACTTGTGAAGGAGATACATCATTTTACTGAGTGCACACATGTATTTTTTCACTGACATACAAGAACATTTTTTGGGCACAGAGTTTTCAATCTGTATGTGCAGGATTTGTCTACAAAATTTGTGAGATTTGTAAAGGAGTTGGTTTTTTTTTTCTTTCATTCTTTTTTTCAGGACTACTTGATATAATCAGGAGAAAAAAGACATGCTTTTTGCCAAACAGGCCATTCTTGTAAGAGCAAAACCAGCAAGCTAATTTTTGTGAACAATTTATGTATCACGCTGTTGACATAATATTTGCAGTCTGGATGACCTCATTAAATGTGTTAATGCAGTTTCTTACATCATACACAGATGTGTTTTAAGTCTACTTGGAACACTTCAATTGTTTCCTTCAGAAAATAGCCTTCAGATGTTAGTGATATCCCACCTCCTTTACTCTTTTGTCTTTCCCTCAACATTCCTAGTCATCACTGCTATTTCAGAAGTGTTTGACTATTCTTAAAGCTGGTTCCAGTCTTAAACCAATAGCTCTGATTGCTTCTTGTTCTTAGTCTTTTATTTTGTCCTTTTTTCCCTGCATCAGAATGGTGAGCAACTTTTTGCCATTAATAACTTCTTCAGAAATAAAAAATAATTTCCACTTGCTAGTGGATGCAAGTGGATATTTCACCTGCTACTTCCTTCACAAGACACCAAGGACAATATCTTGTGATATTAGTCAAAAGTTGTTGATTACAAGTGGTAAGACACATTACAATTGAATTTGATAGACTGGGCTTTGCGTTACCCATAAGAATTCAGTTTAGCCTATTGGCATTGTAATGGCATATGCAATAGGGTGTGAGAAAAATCACTAGCTGGATTAAGGGATATAGTTGTCGTTAACCCTATGTTTTCTTCCAAGCAGGACAACTACTGAAGATTTTACCATTCTTATACAATGCTAAGCCCGTTTTAGGCTAGCTCTGACTAGCAGCTTGCTATTAGGATTGTCCATGTTGCTGAGCGTCACAGCACTCCTCCCAGCTTGTTCTCAAGTCTGTTACTCGCCTGTGCCTGCCTGTGTTCCTGTGCTCCGTTTTCACCATGATTTTCTCTGCTCTTTTGGCTTCCGAGCATAGCTGCTCCTCTTAGCAACTCCTGTACACAGTAATCCTGTCAAGTTAGGTCTCAGTACTTCCACTGTTTTCTTTTGACTGTGTTGTGCTTTCCAAACTGGTTTGGTACTCAAGGTTGTTTTGACACCAAACCGGTTAGTTGGATCTTGTTCCCTGAATTTGTTGCTAGCTGGATTCAAATTCTGAACAGTGACGATTGCTCCTCTCTGAACCATAATAAGCCTTCACTGCAATCTTTAGTTTCCTTTTTCTTTCAAGTAAAAATATAGGTATTAGGAGGAAAAACATGCAAATATGAAGTGAGAGTAAACGGATGCAAATGTTTACGCATTTTCCAGCAGCCAGTATAGACCACTGAATTGAAGCACTGGAGCACTTTGTATGTTTCAAATTTAACTCTTGTTTCTTCAAAAGAAATGTTAGGGAAAATCTCAAGTCTGTGCAAATTGTCATAATGCAAGTGTCATTGTCCCAGAGTAAGTAAATGGAAGGTACTTATTTGCATTCTGTGAAGTAGAAAAGCCAAAGTATTTGTTGGCATATTTGAACTCTGTTGATGAGCTGTGTTGAAGGAGTTTACCATTGTTTAAAGATCACCAGTACGTAAGTAGTTTCTCCTTTTGACTGTTGACATCAGCAGATGTTTCCTGAGCATGGTATGTTAGCATATCAATCTTTTCAGTACATCACCAGTTGTAAAACTTGTGCTTCTTAAGAATTACTTACTTGATAAAAAATTACCTTTTTAAAAAAAAAAATTTACCTTTTTAGAGATGAGGAATCCAATCAGTGCCTTACTTGACGTCAGTGCAAGGAGCCTGCTTTACTTTTTCGATGGGTTTGCAGTATGTGTTAGAGGAGAATAAAATGCTGTTGTTAAATGTCCTTAGCACCTGTGCTTTTCTTTTTGTGAAGCTATGATAAACTGAGGAAAGCAAAATGAAGGACAAAATAACGAAGATCTTTCTACCCTGGCTGTTACATGTTCCCCAGAAGGACTGAGTGAGCTCTCTGATGCTCTTGCACATCATGGAGCTTTGCCAGTTAGTGGCAGTCTCTGGAAGATAACCTTTTCTCCACTGGTGTGTGCACTGCTAGTTCACAAAACAGCCCGTGTGGCTAAGTGGAGGTGCATACTATTGCCCTGACTCCCCAGCACTGATGTGCTGGCTCTGTGAGTGTTCGAGTATGCCAGTGATAAGGGTCATCCCCCTGAAGGATCAGACCACCTTGGTGATTGGCAGTTAGCTGAAATCACCCATAGAATTAATCAGAATAAGGTAGAATAAAATAATGTCTTTGTGGAATCCTCACTCAGTTGCTATGTTTTTAAAGGCTATGGAAATAAAAAGAAACTTACCCACTTAAATTAGGTCCAGAGGATTCCTTCATCCTGTGTTAGCCTGTAGCCAAGTTGCTAGTTGCCTTACAGCTACATAGCTGAAGATCTAGCACTTGCTGTCTCTTGAGTTGCCCAATGTTTGTCTTGGAATAAGATGTGAATTTAGCAACTCATCCCTTTCATTAGCACCCCAAACTCTCCTTGAGGGTTATTCAGATTCACATGTCTCAGACGGATTTTGTAAACTTAGCTCACTAAAAAAGTGGTTATGACATTCCTCCCTTACAGCCAGTGATGTTCCCTACTGCTTTAGAAATGTTAGCATGTCTTTGGCATGGCTGGTACTGAAAAGTCATCAGCCTGTTGTAACGCAACATGTCCCTTCCTGTCATGTGGGGTAAATGTGTTCTCAGAGTGAGTCAGGTTACATTTCCTGTTGAACGTAAGGTTTGATCAGGCTTGTGCAGCTGGTTGTTCACATTTGAGATTAACCTT